AGTTACAGTGGTGGAATAGGAACAGCAAGACCAAAAGGATGGAGTAGAGAGGGTGGTAGGAAGGCCAGGGAGGAGGGGCTGGGTGTGCTTCTGTTGGTAGAGTGCTTGCCTAGCATGCGCAGAGCCCTGGGTTCAGTTCCACACTGAAGAAACCGAAGGCATGGTGCACACCTTTCGTTCCAGCCCTCGGGGGATGGAGGCGGGAGGAGCAGTTCAAGGCCTTCATGTGGTACATAGAGAGCTTGAGGCCAGCCTGGGCTACACGGGACCATGCCTCCAGCACTTGAGTGTGTGGATTGGGAGAGAGAATGTGATTATATCATGGAGGAAGGAGTGGTAGGTTTGATGCAGCTGGATTCAGAAACCCGGGAAAAGAGCAGCAGGAAGCTGTGGGGATTGGCGTATTGTAGGAATCTGGGCTAAAAAGGAGGTTGGTGTCGTGAAAATTTAGGTAGAAGAGGTAAGAACAGGCCAGATCTAGAGGATGGCTCTGAGCCTACGTGCCTGCAGATAGGTTCCTTGGCAGTGTACATTAGGAAAATCCAGAGGCTGTGGGCTTGATGCTTCCCGGAGCAATCTGGAGTCTTCAGAGGGCTGTTCGCTTGGCAGGTTGCTGGGGACTGTGGTACTGTTTGGTTCACAGCCTAGAAAGGTTCTGAAAGAAGAAATTCCTAGAAGAAAATGAGTCCCAGGACCAACAACAACTTTTACCTTTCGGTTAGGTCTGTTCTGGGTTTCCGAGTGGGCAACTTGGGTGTGGGGAGGAACCGGAGGGCACAAACTCTGGCTCAGTGTGGAAAGTCAGACTACATTTTTTTTTCCTAAGTGAGCCGAGAACTGTGTTCAGGGATAACTAGTGCGCTGTGCTGACTGAAGTAACGCTGTTTTCTGGAAGTGCTTTATAAATTATTTTTAATGGAAAAAGAAAATAGACGATGAATTTTTTTAATTCTTCAATTTTTTTTTCAATAATGAAAAAGGATGTTGGAGCTCAGTTTTCTATCAAGAATTGATTTGCTAAAATTGTAAGCATCATTCAAAACTCATCCTGGTTAACACACATTATCTGTACACACACACACACACACACACACACACACACACAGCCAGACAGGGACTATGAAAGTAGGATTCCCATCTTGGTGGAAAAGCAGCAGAATGCCTGTCACACAGAAGCCACTCGGTGCCTGATCATAGGAACAAATGTTGTCAAGAGCCACTGGTCCAAAAGCCCACAATGGCCGCTTTGTGTCTGCTGGTCTTTATTTCACCCACTTTAACCATATGAAAAGCCCACTCATGGTAATCAGCTGTGGCCCTTCTAAACGGCCGCTACTGTGGAACACTTGCATTTTTTAATGTCTTTGAAGGTCAAGAAAAAAAAAAAACATATCTTTTTAGAAGTCACTTGGTTATTATGTCATCATATTGAGATTTTTCAGGACCGAGTTAAAGATCATTTCTTTGTTAGGTTGTATTTTGTCTTAGCCTTTGGGAGATATGTTCTCAAAATCTCTGTGAATGGGGGACGGAAGGGGTGAGAGGCGCAAAGGGCAGGGCCTAGGTGACTCAAGGGTCCTGCTTTGGTCTGAAGGTGTTTTTCTGTTTGTTTTAACCCAGCTTCCCTGTTTTCATACCTTTCTGCCCATCCACTCTGTGTGTGTGTTTGTTTTCCAGCTTAAGTTGGAATAAAATTGATTCATTATGTTTCTGCCTCCTTTTCTGATGCGGTAAGCATTGACTGCATCCTAGTTTCTGTTTCCACGTTCCTCTGACCATTTAGTTGGAAATACTTTCTAGTTTCTAAGACAGTTTCCAAGAGTTATTTAGAACTAAGTTTTTAAGATTTTTTTAGACTTCATGTATATGTATCTGTTTATGAATATGCTGCACGCGCATATGTATGTGTGCCTGTGCGTGTGCGTGCGTGCGTGCGTGTGTGCGTGCGTGCATGTGTGCGTGCGTGCGTGCGTGTGTGTGTGTGTGTGTGTGTGTGTGTGTGTGCCTGTGCCTGTGTGTGCCCTCTGAGGTCAGAGAAGGACCTCAGATCCCAACAGCTGGAGTTACAGGTGTCTGTGAGCTGTTCAACGTGGGTCCTGAGAACTGAACTCAGGTCTTCTGGAAGAGCAGCAAGCACTCAACACATGAGCCGCCACTCCAACCCCAGAACTCAACTCTTAATGGCTACACACATGAATTCTTATGGTTATCTTTACTGACATATAATACAATTACATTGTCAGAAAAAGAGTGTTTCTAAATGTCAGTATTGAGGAGTGTATACAATTATGTTAGCTTTCACGTATCTTTTTGAAATTAAAGGAATGTTTGTTGTTTGCAGGCAGGATCTGGGTATGTAGCTCAGGGTTGCTTCACATTCTCCTGCCTCCTGTTTCAACCTCCCGAGTACTGAGGTTAGGGGAGTGCCACCATGCCTGGTTGATGGAATGTATATTATGAAGTTGCCATAGCCTGGTATGCTGTAAACATTGATTAGATCAAACCTTTAACCTGTTGGAGTCTTCTGTAGTCTGTCTGATTTTGAAGTCTGTAGGGAGGGGTTGGAGTTGATTGCTTTAGGAGAGTGGTGACATCCAAGTAGTATACCTACTTTGATCCAGTATAATAATGCCAGGAAAGTATAAAAAAGAATGGGAAGACAGGCTTGGAAGGTTGGCAATGGGTGTCAGCATGGGCTGTAAGGGAGGGGCTATCTGCAGGGCTGGCTGGACATGAGTGACAGGAGGAGAGAGAGTCTTAGTTAGGGTTTCTATTGCTGTGACGAGACATCAGGACCACAGCAACTCTTATAAAGGAACACATTTAATTGGGGCTGGCTTACAGTTTCAGAGGTTTAGTCCATTATCTTCATTTTGGTGTGCCGGCAGACATGGTGCTGGAGAAGGAGCTGAGAGTTCTACATCTTGATCCAAAGGCAACAGTACACCATACTGGGTGTTGCTTGAGCAAAGGAGACCTCAAAGCCCACCACGACGGTGACACACTTCCTCCAATAAGACCACACCTACTCCAACAAAGCCACACCTCCTAATAGTACCACTCCCTCTAGAGGGGCCATTTTCTTTCAAACCACCACAGAGAGGAGCCAAGAGTGTCTTCAAAGGTTTGTGCCTATGGATGGGCCTTTGGGTGACATGGGTCAGCTTTGGGATTCCACAGACTCCACAACTTTCAGGTGAACAATGGTGAGACATATTGACTTGGGTTGTTCTGTGTTGTTCTACTGGCTGCATTGACAAGCTGTGGGTGGTCATGGAAGGAAGGTTTAGGCACACCCTCTAGGTCTTGCTAGGTCTTTCTGGAATGTTCCAGTAAGAAAATAAGATGCCTTTTTCTTCTGGCTCCAGCAAACTCACTGTGGTGGGTCACTTGCCTCTTTACAGTCATAGCTCAGTAGCTATTGTCAGATTCTCCTCCTCAGTTGGCTGTTGTCTGTCCTTGCGAATAAACCATGCTGGGTAGATACAGACTCATTAAGATGATGAATGACCTTGGCCTTGTTCTCTTTGCTCAAAGGATAAACTGGGGCCTGTGGGTGTGTCTAGCAAATAATTGTAGCTGGAGTTTTCTCTTCGTCCCGCCAAGCCCTGGCAGTCTGACCACCCACTTATAAAATAAACACACAGACACTTATATTATTTACAAACTGTATGGCCGTGGCAGGCTTCTTGCTAACTGTTCTTACATCTTAAATTAACCCATTTCTGTAAATCTATACCTTGCCACGTGGCTTGTGGCTTACGGGCGTCTTCACATGCTGCTTGTCATGGCGGCGGCTAGCAGTGTCTCCCTCTGCCTTCCTGAAGACACTACCAGCCGCCGCCATGACAAGCAGCATGTGAAGACACCCGTAAGCCACGAGCCACGTGGCAAGGTATAGATTTACAGAAATGGGTTAATTTAAGATGTAAGAACTAGATAGCTAGAAGCCTGAGCCATTAGGCCAAACAGTTTAAATAATATAAGCGTCTGTGTGTTTATTTTATAAGTGGGCTGTTGGACGGCTGGGGTTTGGCAGGACCCGGAGAGAAAACTCTCCAGCTACAAATAATGGGAAATAAATAAAGGAAATAGAAAAATATGAGACATGATTGTGTTTCTGGCTTTGAGATTTTACTGAAGCCTGAGAAGAGTCAGTTTCTTCATGCCTTCTGCTGCCCCTAGCCTTGCTTACTGTACTTCCTGTAAAACCAGAGAGACCCTAGACTGGACGAGGACAGTAGATATTTCAAAGTGGTGATGACCCTCACAGACCCGTGGTCAGTACTGCTGTCCTGTCCGCTCCAGCTCAAGAGTCCCTGTCTCAGTGTGCCCCATTTCAGGGTAGATGGAGGTTGTTGCTCTTTGCCCAGCTCTTCAGAAAAACCTCTTCTTTACAGTGGACTTCCCACGAAATCTGTGCGTTCAGTTCCCAGGGAGCCTCAAATTCTTGGTCTTTTAGGAATCAATGATTAATGTCTTGTGGCCATAAGGAAAGTGGAACCAGGGTTTTGCCTTCCCTTACACCACCCTGGACTTGTGGAAGACCCTACTTAGCTTCCTCATCCGATTTTGAGGGAACAGCACACAGAAATCGAAAAGCTACAGTTTCCTCGTTTTCAAAATTACATCCAAAGGTGTCTGCTGGAAAAGCATGGCAACCACTAACCTCCAGCCACACCTCGTGTGCTGCCCGCACGGCCCACACGGGCACGCTTCCAGAGCCTCCTTCCCGCAGGCTCTTGTGTGGGTGAATCAGCACTTCCTACCCCGCCCTCACCTTGCTGACTCCCGGGGAAGGCTGCTGTACTCCAGTTCCTCGCCTTTCCTTGGAGCTGTGATTCACTCAGGTCAGGACCCAGTCTGAGCTGAGTCAGTGGGTGGAAGCCACAGGAAGGATACAAGAGTTAGCCTGCCTTTGCTGGCTCACTTAGCCTGACTCCAGCCCATCCTGGGTCCAGGAGCAGAGTTGTATGTAGCACATGCATCTGCCTTTGCTAGGCTTTGCCACGTGCACTGGCCCTTGCTGTCAGCCTTCTTGGTAGGTCTGCAGGATGTGTTTAGTACTAGATGCCAGCTAGATGTTCGATTTGGGAGACTAAATAAACTGGAGTTTGACCTTGTGTATCCGAAAGCCTGACTTACATGCTATTAGGCACAGATATTAAGGTCACATATCATTAAATGATTTTCAGACCTTTTTGCTTTTTGTTATGGTGATGCTTTGGTTAGGTTTTTTTCTGTTTTTGTTTTTGTGGGTTTTTTTTGTTGTTGTTGTTTTGTTTTGTTGTTGTTGTTGTTGTTGTTTCAAGGCAGGATTTCTCTGTGTAGCCCTGGCTGTCCTGGAACTCACTCCGTAGACCAGACTGGTCTTGACCTCATAGAGATCTGCTTGCCTCTGCCTCCTGAGTATTGGGATTAAAGGTGTGTGCCACCATGCCCGGCTCTTGGCTGGGTTTTTTGAGGTAGATTCTCATACAGTCCAGGCTGGCCTTGAACTCACTATGTACCTGAGGCCTTGAACTTCTGATTCTCTCTGCCTTCCAGCTGCCGGAACTACAGGCATGGGCCATCACATCCAGTTCTGTTGTTTTTTGTTTTGAGACAGGGTCTTGTTATATAGTTTAGGCTGGCTTCCAACTTGTGATCTTCTACACACACACACACACACACACACACACACACACACACACACACACACACCCACAGTGTTGGATATGCCGGCATACTCAGCTGTAGACTTCTGACACTTTGGGTCGCTTTCACACTATCTGGAGGAATGGTGTAGTCTGAAAGGCATGTATGTTCAGAGTTTTCCTGTTTCCAAACCTTGCGCTTGAATTGACCTGGGCTTAATCACTGAGACTTGAAGGGAACTGAGGTGGGAATCTCTTTAACTCTGTTCTTACAGAGAGGCTTGCTCTCTCACTCCCCGGACTCAGAGAATGCCCTGATTTATTTTATATGCCTGTGTGTTTATCTGTGCCTGCGTTTATATGCACCATGTGTATACAAGTGCCCGCAGAGACCAGAGGTCCCTGTATCCTCTGCAACTGGAGTTAAGCCAGTTGTGAGCCACCTGATGTCGGTACCAGGAACCAAACCTAGTTTTTGTGGAAGAGTCGTAAATGCTCTTAACCATGGATGCCTTTGTTCCTGGAAGTAATAACGACGTGACCTCCTTGGTAGGGTCAACTTGAAATAACTTTTCACTTTCTGTAGAACTTGCAATGTCATCAGGCCTCAGATACCCTTGAGCCTTGGAGATATCAACCATGTTTCCCAACATCTTAGCCACCGCCTCTTAACTCGAAAGTGCAATGACCTGGGGAAGGAACCTGTTTTGTGGTGGCTGAGGCAGAAAGGCCAGGAAAGCCTTAGGGAGAATGTGCAGGAGCCTGAGTCCAGACCCTCGGTGCAAAGGAAGATGCCAGAGACTTTTTACCAAGTTCCCAGCAACAATGTCATCTGTAATGCTTCCATCCCTTCATAAAAATTAGTCAGGCATGGTGGCACACACCTTTAATCCCAACACTCAGGAGGCAGAGGCAGATGGATCTCTGTGAGTTTCGAAACCAGCCTGGTTTACCTAGCAAGCTGCAGGCCAATCAGGGCTGCATAGTAAAACCCTACCTCAAAAATACCTATATGGTCTTATGTCTTGTGTATGTGTACCACATTTTCATTATCCATTCATGTGTAGATGGACATATAGGCCGGTTCCAATTTCCTAGCCCTGTGACTAGATCAGCAGTGACTATTAGCAGTGTGCAAGTTTCTCTGCAGTAGGATGTAAATCCTTTGGGTGTTTGCCTGCAAGCGGTCCGGCTGGGGCATCCGGTAGTTCTGTTTCCAGTTTTTTGAGCACTGTCTATCCTGATTCCCATAGTGAAGTTTACACTCCCACCTACAGCGGATAAAGGGCCCTCTTCCTCCACATCCTTGCCAGTGTTTGTGGTCATTTGTGTTCTGGATGACTGCTGTTCCGGCTCTCAGTATAGTTTTCCTTTTCATTCCCTTGATGGCTCAGGGTGTTGAGCATGTCTAAAGTATTTACTGGCCATTTGGATTCCCTCTCCTTGGGAGATCTTTCTACAGTTACATAGCTCATTTTTTGATTGGGTGAGTTGTTTTGTTTAGAGTTTTGGATAGTTTGTTTGTTTGTTTGTTTGTTTGTTTGTTTTGGTCTCTTGGTTTGGTTTTTTGAGACAAGGTCTCACTCTGTAGCTTTGACTGACCTGGAACTCACTCTATAGACCAGGCTGACCTCAAACTCATAGAGCTCCATCTGCCTCTGCCTCTAGAGTGCTGGGATTAAAAGCGTGTGCCACTATGCCCAGCTTGTTTAGTTGGTTTTTTTTTGTTGTTTGTTTGTTTGTTTGTTTTTGAGTTAGTTCTCTGGGTAGTAATCCACTGTCAGATGTGTAGCTAGCAGTGATCATCTCGAATTCTGTGGGCTCTCTGTACCCAATTATCTGTTTCCTTTGCTGAGCAGGTTTGTGATTTTATGAGATCCCATATGTCAGCTGTTGACTGGAGTCCTGTTCAGAAGTTCTTACCTGTACTTGTATCTTAAAACGTTTTCCTTGAAGTTTCAAGAGTTTCAGGTCTTACATTAAGGGCTCTGATCCACTTGGGGTTATTTTCCATGTAGGGTGAGAGAATGATCTAGTTTCATTCTTCTGTATGTTGGATATCTAGTTTTCCCAGCACCATTTGCTAAAGAGGATGCTTTTCCTCCAATATATATTTTTGGCATCTTTGTTAAAAATCAATGGGTTTATGTTTGGATCTTACATTCTGTCCCATTGATCTACGTATCTGTTTTTGTGTCCATATCATGGCAGTTTTGTTACTATGGCTCTGTAACATAATTTGGAATCAGGTGTGGTAATACCACTGGCATTATTAATTGTGGGGATGGGTTATAGTTACATGTGCAGAAGCCAGAAGACCCTGGGTGTCCTACTCTGTAACTCTCCATCTTTGAGACAAACCCGTATTCTGGACCACCAAGTCCCAGTGACCACCCTATCCACCCCCCACACACACATACACATCAAGTCCCAGTGACCACCCTAACCACCCCCACACACACACATACACACCAAGTCCCAGTGACCACCCTATCCACCCCACACACACACAGACACACACACCCCCACACACA